TAATAATAGTACATGTTAATATGATACAAATGATTAATAATAGTCCTCGTTTAAAAAATTGATAATGGCGTTGAAAATCATAATAATAATGCCTAAGGAAGGTTATTAATGACAAAAAACTGATTAATAGTACACTTTCAAATGATTACTAATTACCTTTGCTAATGTTGCAAACAAATGACCATAAAAAATTAATAACACAGAACAACGTAATTAAAAGTGAATCCAATAAGCTTAATAACAACAAAAACAACTAACAAGCAACGACAAAACCCTAAAATCCATGCATCGAAAACCCAAACTCATGCAACCAATGAAAATACTAAACATTAGAACAAAAACAGGCGAGAGAATTATCGGAAGCGACGTCGGAAACCGACGATGGGAGCGACGGCTGGAAGGGAGTAATGACGAACGTGAGCGATGTCGAAGCCGGAGGAAGAAGGAGTAACTACAAAAACAAAATAAGGAAAGAATATTACCTTATGAAACGTACGGCGGAGGATGTCAGCGACTGCCTGAAGAGACAGCGGCGGTAGGCTACGGCCACCGGGAAAATGTCGGGAGCCATTGTTGTCCGACGGACAAAGGCAGCAGGGGCACGGAGGGATCTGACAACAATTGAGGGCGAAATAGAAGCTTGGGTGCCGGAACGCAGCCGGGAACGGAAGAGACGGGCGAAGAATGAAGCTTGAAGAAATCGTTGAGAGGGAACGGTTCGGCTTGGAAGGAGTAAATAAACTGGACGTGGGTTTAGGCCTTTAGGGATTAGTAGGGTTAATTATTTTAATTTTTATATTATTTATAATCCCATAAATACCCTTAACAACTAATTAACTTATAACTCCTCACTAACTACCTAATATCTCACCAGCCAATCACAACGCTTTAAGATCCTTCTTAAGAAAGCGGGTTTAAGGACCTGAACTCAGGCCTATGGGAACAAAGAAAATATCATTACTGATTGTATGCGGGTCAACTTCTCATATGGGCTTACAAAATTATAGCCAACAATTAAAGTTGCCACTAGAGGTGGCAATTAGAATCCAAATCCATGAATCCAATCCAATCCATCCACCAAATTATCCACCTAATCCAATCCATTTGATCCAATTCATGGATCAATCCATGGATTCAAATGACAAATTACGATTTGGTACCTATATTTTTTATATTTTACATTTTGGTACCTAAAATTTATATTTTTATATGAAAAATTACATTGGAAAATTACATTTTGATACCTAAAATTTTTCATGATAACATTTTAATACCAAAACTTTTCAAATTTTATATTTTGGTCCAAGCCTTTGATCTCATTTGGATTCATGGATCAATCCACCAATCCATTGGATCCAATCCATTTGATCCATGGATCCACCAATCCAATCCACGAATCCACGAATCCGATCCAATTGCCACCTCTAGTTGCAACACAACGATAGGGAGTAACCTCTGTTCTTCGTCTAGAACCCAGAAAACAGAGACCGCTTCGCACTTTACCATCTTCTGGATCCCCCGTCGTCGCTATCATAACGTCGCCATGAACAACATAAATCATAATCGCAATGAAGTTACCGCTGTGAACCTCAGGGAACTCGAGGAATCGATCACAATTTCGATCTTTGTTTTCAAGTTCACCAAAACAAAATAGCGGCAAGAAAATCCAGGGAAATTAGAACATGTAGGATCGTGTTTCATAGAATGTGACGTCTTTCTAACACATCCGTACAGTGTAAAATTTCTAACCAGTAATACAAACTCTATTTGATTATATTAAATGCAAATTGAATTAGATAAACTCCATCAATTTTATTAATTACTATAACAAAAGTGTAAGGTCGCCCATAGATAACAACGACGGTCGTTTGCTTGTGGGATTTGGATGATGGATTTGGAACCCAAATCTCAAGCATCATGGAGTTGACACAAATCCTTTGTTTGTTGAGGGACACAAATCCGTGGGGTCCACAGATTTGGACCCATTTTTTAGATCCAAATCCGTGGATCCCACGGATTTGTAAATCCCACATTTCATTTGGGATTTGGCAATAGAAGGGAAAAATGTGAGACAAATCCATCACAAATCCATGATAAAAAATCAACTAAACAAACAATGTACTCTTCCAAATCCATGATGCAACAAATCCATCATAAATTCAAAGGTTTTTGAAACTCAAAACCTTCCTTTTCAAATCCAACAAGCAAACGAGAGTGTAAACAGCTCAGCACCGGCTGGGAGTTCATCGCTAGGCTGGGTTTGGCCTATGAATTCCTCGGCCCAAGTGTTTTATTTCTCAAGCGGGCAGTGTGAAGGGCCGGATACAACAAAGGGTGTGTATAAATGGGCCTGGTGAGACAAGTAGGGATGGCAACAAAACCCGAACCCACGGGTACCCACCCGACCCAACCCGGTCAACACGGGTAAAATCCGTGTTGACGGGTTTTGGGCCGGGTTTGGGTTTAAACCCGTTCACTATTCAACGGGTTGGGTTGAATTTGGGTTTAGGTAAACCCGGCCCGTGGGTACCCGCCCACCCATATAATTAATTTTTTTGGTATATTTAATATTCTAAATAACTAATCTTATTTATGTTTGTGGAGACATGTCTAATTTTTTCTTTTTAATTGTGTAGAATCAAGTTGATGTTATGGAGTGGAGAGTAAAGAAACTTAATTGAAAGGAAGAAGCTTTCAATTAAACATGTTATTTATGGAAAATTTGTGATTTGCTTCAATTTTTTTGAGTTTTCTAGATTGGTGTTGAACAATTTGTATAGTTAATTTGTGATTTGCTTGAATTTTCTAGAATGGTGTTTTATATATGGATAATTTGTATTGAGAGATTGATATTTGACTTTAATTTTGATAAGAACTTGTAATTGTAAATTTTTTACGACAAAACCCGTGGGTACCCATGAACCCGCGGATACCCAACGGGTTGGGTTGGGTTTGAGTTTTTCAAACCCAGTGGGTTTTACCCCGGGTTTTTTTTCAAAGATAAACCCATGGGTTTGGGTTTGGGTTTGGCAAAACCCGATCCAACCCGACCCATTGCCATCCCTAGAGACGAGGCCTCCCAGAAGCTATTTATGGGTGGGGTGAACAAACACACCCGCAAACCGACCCACCCGTCCAACCCAACCCAACCCACCCGTATTTACCGCTAAAATGAAGGTTTTGGGTTGGGTGAGCGTTTTCTTTTGTACAACCCGCCTCTTTTGAGTTGGGTTTGGATTTTGGATTACACAACCCGTAGAACCCGACCCAACCCGTGTTCCAACTATTAGTATGAGTTTGAATCTAAAAAATATTTATGTAGTATATAGTCATATACTAATGAGAAAATTAAGATATTTCGCCATGTTTTTCTCTCATGGTCTCCCTAATATAATGCATTCTTCGACTTAAAGTTTAGACATAAATTGAATATAGTTATGATTCACGTAATCATTTTTCTTGTGTACAATTTTAATAGAATAACATATGATGGATGCGTTTGTTTATAACATTTTTCGCCTATTTCAACAAATATCGTGAAAAAACAAGACATATGTTGAAGTAAATTACATTTTATTAAAATTTAAACAACATTTGTGAATTTTCATACCTTTCACCTTGGTTCATTCGTTTGAAATTTTAATTAGTTATATAATATTTTTATGATGTAGAATAATTATATATTTTATGTTGGGTTGGGTTTTTACTTAAAAATATCGCCAACCCGACCCAACCCAATTAGAAACAAACCGTAGGGTTTAAATTTTTTTGGGTGGGTTTGGGTTTGATATTTTCCAAACCGTAGTGCATGGGTCGGGTGATTAAAATAACTAAACCCGAACCACCCAACCCATGTACACCCCTACTTATGGGAACATGTTGCTGAACAATAATCCTTCAACCCTCAATTGGCCACGAACCAAAAATCACAGCCAAGCAAATAGAATGTGTATTACTAGCCACCCACTCATCAAAGGTATCCAATTGCACCGGAAAAAACGAGCAAGGATTCCCCATATTAAGTCCAGTTTTGATTGTTCTAGGGTAATAGATTAATTTGGAGTTGGAATACCAGAGAATTCGTTTACATCTTTTGAAGGTTAGTTAGTCAATTAGTGGTTTATCGATGAATTCAGCAATAATCAATGGTTAATGGTTATATGTCGTTAACCGATTATAAGTTAGCGATGCGGTTATTAGTAGTCTGTAATGACTTCCCATGTAACCGAGTATCGAATAGCAGGTTAATTGTGAACCAACAACTAACCGAATATATGTCTATATTTCTCTCCCCCCAAAACGACTATCGTCTTTCTCAATTTCCTTCCAGTGTAAACCTTAAAAGTGAAAGAGGAAAAGAGCACCGTCGAAATTTCGATTCAAATGTAGGCATCAACATTGGATTGGGAAGATCAAATGACTTCTGTTGGAGGAATGATAGCAAATTTTGTGCCCCCCATTTTCTTCCCTCATCGAGTTTGCACTCGTCACTCTTATCCTTTCTCTCTTCTCTTTCTTTTTTCTGTTGGTTCAGTTATCAATGTGTTATTTTTTGGAATGTTTTTTTTTCCAAAGGATCAAAGGGTTATTTTAGTCCAACATTGTCAAATCACTTGCTAAATAATTAGTAAATTAACCAACATAATAATTGATAATCGAATATACAATTACGGCTAACCGACAAATACAAACAATACGCTTAGTGACAAGCAAAAGTTGTTTAAGGATTAATCGATAACTAAATAAACGGTTAGAGTCAGAACCAAACCGAGTAAAAATACTTTGCAAGCACCTCGACCTCGTTAAACAACGAGTTTCTGGCTTGTGCTTGAAGCTAACGTCGACCAGAAAAGAAAAGAAACCCCCTCATATTTATACATCGTTGACTGGTGCGCACTTTTACAACAACAGCTCTCTCTCTCCCAATTTTGCGTTATAGGGTTTTTCTTAAACCCTTCCACAAAATCCCCCTCCTCCCCGATTCCGTTTCGCCGGCCGCCATGAGCAAGGGACCAGGTCTCTTCTCCGACTTCGGCAAGAAGGCCAAAGGTACGCACACATCCATTTCCCTCCCGCTTCCTTCTCTACCTCTCGCTGTTTGCTGCGGCGCCGACGCTTCCTTCGATCCCATCTTTTCCTTTGCAGATTTGCTCACCAGAGACTATCTCTCCGACCAGAAGATTTCCATCTCTACTTTCACTCAATCTGGAGTTGTAAGTTCCTTTTATCCCTTCCCCCACTCCTTTTGCTCTCTACTCGACTCTTTATGATTTATACTTAAAGCTCAGCCGATTGGATCTGAGATTTTTCCAGTTCCTTTACGGTTTTGACTGCTCTCGGATACACTCAGCTTCTTGGTGGTAGTCTGTGGATTGGATACAAGGGGGTTCTGATTAAGTAATTATGCTGCTGACTTTTCAGAATCGTTATCTTTGTTGCTAACAGTGGAAGCTGAAGCTGGTATAAGTTGTAGACTCTATATTGGCGAGCCTGGTGCTTTTTTTTTGGGGTCCAATTTTGGGTAGTAATTGAACTGGTTGATGCTCGTGTTCTCATGGCGGCAATGTCATAGTGGGTTTCTGCTTTCTATGAGCTAGTTGCACTTCGGGTAGTAGACAGGATTAATGTGTATTATTCAATTATTTTGCTACTCAATGCAGCAGAGTTCCTGGCTTAATTGCTCATAGCCAGTCCACCACAGAATGTTATAATGTATCTTGAGGTTTGATGTTATAGACAACGTCTGCATTCTATGATTTTGAGCAAATGGTCTCTCTAGAGCATGCCCCTTGGTAGTTAGTTTTAAGATTTTATTGTTCTAGGAGATCCACTCTGTGCAGTTTTGCTTCATTTTTCCAAAGCCTTAAGAGGTTAGCAGTTTGCATTTTGGGATTAATAGTTCTTCTTGTCAATTTCAGGCTCTTACCTCCAATGTTGTTGAGAAAGGAGGCCTTTCTTCAGGGGACGTGGCAGCTGAATACAAGCACGAGAATGCTACCATTGGCTTCAAAGTCGACACTGAGTCTAATGTAGGTGCTCTGCCCCATTTTCATGTTTACACCTTTAGTTCAAACCCTCTGGTATGTCTAATGTTGAGTCATTGATCAGGTGACAACAACTGTTAGTGTTACCGACTATCCATCATCCACCAAATCCATTGCTTCAGTAAAATTGCCTGATTTCAACTCTGGAAAGGTATTGATTCTTATGCAAGGATGTGGTAGCTTTTTATTTGATGGGGTTTGGTAGGGTTGTAATTCAGCATTTGCTACTTGTTGTCTCCCCAGTTGGAAGTCCAGTATAACCATCATCATGCTGGTGTCACTGCTGCTCTTGGCCTGAATAAATCTCCATCTGTTGATTTTTCTGCAACTGTTGGTACTCCCACCATTGCATTTGGTGCAGAGGCTAGCTACCTGACTTCTACAGGTGACTTTTCCAAGTATAATGCCGGTGTCAGCCTCACTAGGCCAGATTCCAATGCTTCCGCTATCTTGTAAGTTCTTTATACTGCCTTTTTACTCATTTCTTAAGCACGGAACACAATGCATATTTGGAAATTGAAGCAATTTGAGCAATCAAACTGTACACTCTTGATGACAAATGAGTCCATCTAACCCAGAGCCATTTGATCCAAATCTGTTGTGTTGGTGGACAAATGAGTTGGGTTGATGGGTTTCAGCAAATTTAATTATCTGAACTTACCTTTCATTGATTTTGAGTACCTGAACATTTGTGTACTAAGGAAAATTGTTTCGAAACTACAAAGCACTAGCTAAAACGTTTTTTAGCATCCCATTTTGCTGCCTAAACTTTCATAATTTATTCAACTGGTCTCGAAATTAACAGTCTTATTTCATTGTTTACTCTGCGCTGCAGGGCTGACAAAGGAGATTCCATAAGGGTATCCTACTTGCATCATCTGGAGCAGCTGAATGGGGGTGCAACTGTGGCAGAGATCAGCAGGCGGTTCTCGACCAACGAGAACACATTAACTGTTGGATGTTCGTATGTGGTTGACTCTACTACATTATTGAAAGCAAAGCTGAACAATCACGGTGATCTCGGGGCTCTTCTCCAGCATGAGATCAAGGCCAAGTCGTTTTTGACGGTGTCTGGGTCATTCAACACTAAAGCTTTCCAGAAGACTCCCAAGTTCGGGGTTGGCCTGTCCCTGAAGCCTTGATTGTTACCTATTCAAGATTTTTATTCAATGACGACAACGCAAATTGGGTTCGTTGTTCGAAATCCATATATATTTTTCCGATCAAAGCAAGCATCCTTAACTTTCTGATATATGACATTTTTACAGCAAAGAAACAGTTTCGGTACATTTGCTAGTTCTGTTGGTCCAAACGGTGTGAAAATGCGAATTACTGACTCATGCATGCCACCTGCTTCTGATAAAAGAGTAGGATTTGGTACCAGCCTTGGGGATACTTTCATCTTCTATTTAGCTTTTTCATTCATTTGCAACCGGTAGCTTTGCCCGAGCGGAACTTCCATAGCTGAGACGTAGATGTAACGGTCTCGTCATTGCTAAAGTAAACATTTAAACATTGAATGAATGCCCGGGCCTTTAGATTACTTAGTAAGAGCAGGAAGATGGGCGGGGCGCGCTGCTCTTCTTGTCGAAATATTACTGCTCCTCTGAATGTGCTATTCGTTTGAAAGCTTGTGGATTTGCATTTGTTGTTTCTCCCATCTTTTATCAGTTTTTGCATTGAGCTGTAGTTTTCTTTCATTATTGTTTTCTAGTCTTGGCCATGAAGGTATTCATATACAGGTGGAATTGGACGAATCTTGTAGGATGAGGATTTTGTACAGAACACGGTCCCAGTTTCAATAGCCTTCAGCGTTCATACTTTATACACAGATCGAATAAGATCCTGCAGGATTAGGACTATCTAGTATCTACAATGATCACCCTAACTTTGATGGAGGCAACCCAATTCCTTTTACCACTTGTATTATTTTTCTTTGCCAAAGACATTCCGCAACGGAACAAACTAGATACAAATAAGTACATGAACGAAACCGGCCAAACTAAAAAATTAATACGCGCTAGTCAACAGATGTTGAACCAACGAGAGAGGGCCTTTTTTTGTCACGATATGAGCAGCCCTTGGTAGCTTAATAGCATGAGCAATATCATGATTTTTTCCCCTTTAAAAGGATCCAAATCACGAAGTAGTCATGCTGAAAATTGAAGCAGGAAAGCAAATCCTTGTAAATCTGACAAATGTTCAGCACAAAAGGCCGTAAAAGTCTCCACCGGATATACCGTTAATCCTGCAAAAAAAAAAAAAAAAACATATGACTAATTTCTTAACTGGTTAATTGGTTTGACTGATTATGAGTGTGTGAAACCAAAGCAAACAATCTACCCCAAACATACTAAAATTGTAATCAAACCAAACTAATTATCCAAACAAATCAAACCAAATTATTCGAATACTGCTGGTTAAAATGGTTACCGATAGCCACTCTCTTTTAACACCCCTGCTCAAATTAAAATTCTTGGTAGGAATTAGGCATACAAATATTTGACCTACCATTAACCAAGAAACTGAAAATCTATTATTGCAATATCTTGATAAATAACATGTTATATTCTTGAATATTGACAGAAGAATGAGAAAAACATAAAAATTAAACCAATGTATACAATTGCGGCACAACAGAAAACCAAGTGAACCCACAATTCCCCTTTTGAGAAAATCATACCGGACAATCGAGTACGGGTCGGCGGTGTGAAAGTAGAGGGAGCGTCCGTGAGTGACTCCTTCTCGGCGGCTATTGGTTCTAAGATTGGGGGTGGTACCGTCACCTTGGTGCCATTGATGGAGGGTAGAGTTGTATACAAAGCTGGATCTGGAGGAGATTCCGCGACAGATGGCGAAGATTTTTGTATCCGGAAGAGCGGGTGGGGATTAGAGTGAGGGAGTCGGTTGGGAAAAGGGTAGTTTGGAAATTTAACAACTCGAGTAGATCTGGTCAATAAATTACAGACGAGGAATGAAGAAGGGGACGACGAACGAGAGAAGCAGAGGATGCCTTTGGAAGAGGTGAGGAGAGTTGAGGAACCACCGCGAATTGAATCGACAACGACTGTGGATCGAGGAAGAAAGGCCGAGATGGGTAAAGGGAAGTTGCGCCACCGGCTATGGACGGAGTCGTAGACGGCGAAGCGATTGGGGCCGAAGTGAGAGTGGGAAAGGAGGAGGAAAGAGGAGAAACGTTGGGAGGGATTCTTAAAAGAGGAATTCTAATTTGAGATGAAGGAAGGGGAGAGGAAGAGGGTATCGAAACGTTTACACGTGGATCGGAGATTTAAGAGCGTTTCGAGAGATATGAAGGAGAGGATGTGGTCGAGGAGCTCCTCTGGCAACATGTTCCAGATTGTGGGATCCATCTCCGGTGAGGACCGTGCTGGTTTCAGGCAGCCTGAGGAGTGAAGTTCGTTCTCCGGAGGAGAAATGGAGCAAACTTGAGGTGGATCTTGAGTCATTGCCTGAAAATTGAAAGAGTATGTTAGTAGAATAAGTTCAACATCACAAAAAAAGTTATGATCAACAAATTCGTTCATCATTTACAAATAACATATTATTAGATGATTATAAATAAGGGTTAATAGCATTTTGTACTCCTGTACTATTACAAATTAACAAACGTGTCCCTGTACTATATTTTTCTCAAACATATCCTTCTAATATCACACATAACAAACATACCCTTTTGTTAAAAATGATGTGAAGTGGATGTGAAGTGGGGTGGGAAATGACCTAATTACCCCTTACTAAAACTGTACTTGTAATTTAATTTAACTGTGTGAAAGTGGCTTAAAAATTCCTAATTCACCTGTCGAGAAAACCCCCACCCCTTCTTCTCGTCAACCTGCTACTACGATCACCGAAATGGGACCTATAGCAATAGGAGATTGGTCGAGAATCTAGAGGATTATTTACCTTGGTGATGACTCGATACGAGATGTAAGCCTGAACGCCATTGCCTAACTTAACATGGTCGGTGACGGAAAGTCGGAAACTGATAAGTAAGGTTGCGACGAGGGAGATCGAGGGTTGTGGGAGTAGCCAGACGAGCTCCAATGCTGCCGGTCCATCTTCCATCAAGGAAGAGAATAACAGTATCAAACAGACGACTCACCTAATCAGCAAAAGAGAGCTGTGGAAGAGAAGCTGATCCAATTCTCTCCCCAACCAAACAGTAGCCATGGGGAAGAAAGGAGAGAAGCTCGATTCCAGATCCTCCCAAACTCTCCCGCCGTCGCCGGACGAGAACAAGGGGCGAGGAGGGGTGGGGGTTTTCTCGACAGGTGAAGGGAGGGTTGGAACGAATGATATTATATTAGGGATTTTAATCCACTCTCTCGCAATAAAATTAGATTAAATTAAAATTAAAATTTTAGTAAGTTGTAATTTGGTCATTTTCCACCCCACTTAACGGATACTTTACAAAATTTTCAACGGAAGGGTAATTTTGTTACGTTGTGATAGATGAAGGGTACGTCTATGCAAAAACAGAATATAGGAATAAGTTTGTGAATTTGCAATAGTAGATGGCCACAACGATACTATTAACCTATAAATAAAATCATAACAGTCGTAACAATCGCGGCGGAATCGATTCAGATTGAGTTCGCAGCTAAAGTACCATTTCAGGCCACACATTTTTAAGTAAGTACATCTAACATTCATGCTATAAAAAGGCAACAAGAGTTTCATATATAATATGAAATCACAATGAGTTATTCTTTCCAGATTGATTAGTAATATAAAGCAAAAAAGCTAGCGTTCACCTGTTGCGCCGGCGTCCCGCCGGAGGAGTTAGTCTTGTCGGCTGCGTGACAGAATCGGAGGTTCCATCTCCGATCCCGTCTCCTGGAGCTCCGATTAAAGTAAGGAAACCTCCCGAACTTCCCCCTTGTCCGAGTCTTGGGCGACTCGTGACTTGATGGCGCTGATGATGAGTACTGGCGATGATCATTACCTAATAATTCTACCGCCGCCGTGGGCAGAAGTCCCACCGTAGAATCCGAATAACCATATATTTTCCCTTTTGTAATATTAACTTTCTTCCTCCTTTTCCACCAAAAACATCTCCCCATATTTCCTTTCCTAAATGTCGAATGAATATATGATCCCCTTCTCTCTCCCACACAAATAACGTAACTATATATACACACAGACTGACAGATTGCCAGTGGCGGAGCCACTTGGAGAGGAGTGGTGTTGTACCCATTTGAGTTTGGAGAATTTTCTTATGAGTAGGGGTATATACAAATTCGAATCAGTGATCATTCAGTTGCAAGAAGAATTTCTTACCATCTCAACCGAGTAAATTTTGTTATGCAATGCACTTTCGTCTTTATTTATAGTAATAAATGGTGATTGTCTTTTGTTTAAACTCGCTCATTTCTTTTGTAGCTCTACAATAGAGAAATTTCTTGCCTTTTGTTTAAACAAAACCGAAAGTGATGAAGTACCAATTGAAGTTCACTTGTTTGTTTCACAAAATCAATTCCAAGGTACTTCTGAGTTCTAATTTATAATACTTGATGAATGGAAGTCTTGACTTGTATGTACTGAACTTATTTGTTTGACGTTGTTACCTATGTACGTGAAACTATTTTAATGTTTTTTTTTTACAATAAACTATTTTAATGTAATTGTACGAATTTAGAGTATTGCGTTGTTGACTTTTTTTTTTCATTTAAACTTGACTTTTTTACTGGATAGGTAATTTTTTATGATATGATAAAGACACCCCTGACCAATTTTCTGGCTCCGCCACTGCAGATTGCCTTCCAAATATTCCAACAATATTACCATTTTTTGTCTTTTAACACTGAAACTTCTTTATCTAATAGGACGAATCCAGCGAATGTGAAAGCCGATAGGGGAAAAGATACCAATTGGCCGGCCGGCAGCCGGCGCGTAGTGTAATATCCACCGGGCAAAGAGTATCTGTATGAGACCGAAAAAAGTTAATTGCGTTAATCCTGAAAGCAAAGGAGGTATGGTATCTTGATGCATTCTGGAGGGTCTCTGTTTCGTTTTCCGCTGCTGTGTTTCCTGTTCTCCTTTCCCATTTGTTTTTTTTTTGTAATGTTCCCATTTGTTTTTTTTTTGTAATTAAAGCAGGTTTTTCCCCCTCTTCTTCTTCTGTCATTTGCTTCTTGAACTGCACTCCCTTGCTTTCCTGTTTTCATCTTTTAATCAAGTAATTTCATCCATTAAGAAAACAAAGAAGGTTTACGTACGTAGGCTGCATAATCCTAAATCCTAATACACACTTTGGGCCGTTTTGAGAGGGGTCAAATTTGAAAGATTAAATTCAAATATTTTCCCCCTACTTTTCAATCGGTTTGTATATTTTCTTTGTTTGAACTCGAATTATTTTAAAAATTACACAGATTGTACGCATTTATTATGATTTCAAAATTTGTCAAATCGGAGAACTGCATGCTCTTCGACGAATCAAATGAGAGAGAAGGCATGAAAGCCCTTCGATGAATCAGCCCTCAATTGAAATGGGAGGCAATTGGGGGCAGTCATCGTCAAGGGTGAAGGAAGGTGAGAACCAATTTGTATGAACTCTCAGAATGATTATTTTTTCAAAAGCAAACATGTTAAGTTCTAGATAAAATATATCAATCGACTGAGACAATCTCTTATATGGATTGAGACAATATAGATGAATGTGAAATAACTATCTAAGTGTACGCTTAGCAAAAGAGGGTTGAATGGGCAAATTCGCGACTTAAAACCCTTTAAATAGGTATAGAAAATAAACCTAATGAAAACACCAAAAAGGAAAAGAATCCTAAATAAAAAAGGTAACAAAAATCGGCAGGCTCCGAAACCCAGTTTACATACCTGGTTGGGTATTATTTGCACTTGACCCGGGGGGGGGGGGGGCATTCTGGATCAAATCCCCGATCGACTCCTCCATTCCACGGTCTGGGATTTGATGATTCAAGTCGGGTTTCTCATCTGATAGGAATCACATCATTCCCTCTCCGGTGATGAAGTTTTGCCCTTAAAGCTTTCCAACCTTGCTTTCAAACAAAATTTCCTGAACCATCATCGACAAAGAACAAACAACCTCCACAATGGAAGCAGGAGCTCAAACAACTCGTCAAACACGGGCTCTGTCCATGAACTATGAAGTGAAAGTCGTCATCCAATCTTGCCTACTTTGGATTTGGCTCACAGAAGTTCCAGAATCTGACTCTGTATCTTGGTCTCCATCGACGGCAACATAGGCTTCACTGGACAAGCTTGCAATGGCTTGTCCTGCTTTTCTCCGACCTTGGTCGCTTAAAAAATCTCATAGGTTGTTAGCGCCAATTACATCGAATCATCCTCTGTCTCAATGTCGACTTTCTCTGAACTCGAATTCTGTTGCACATGAGCAACACAGGAGTTGTGGAACCCAGTTGATGCCAAATGATCGCGGATGGTCGTTGCTTGAATTAGGGCAACTAATATCTTCTGCATATCCTTCCAAAGACCGATCTCAACTAGCTTATTTTTGCCTTCGACAAACTGGTTCATGTCCACCGTATACTTTGAATTAGGGGTGGTAAACGGTAATCCGGTAAACGGTTTACCGTTTTACCGAACCGGTAACCGGCGGTAAACGGTAAACCGTTTACCGGCGGTATCGGTAGCCGAGCGGGAAGTTGGGGGAGTCGGTTTACCGGACACGGTATCGGTAAATACCGACGGTAAATCGGTATTACCGATACCGAATCCCCCCTCCCTACTCCCTAGTGCTGCGCTGCGTTTTGTTGCTTTATTATGAAAAATATTACATCATTATTCACAAATATAAAATATTACATACATGAATGTAAGTATAGGCCTCAAAAATATTGTAAATAAGAGTTAATAATAAATTATTAATTACAAAAATGATGAAGAAAAACTCAAAAAAATCAAAATATTACAACATCACCCCACTTCCAGAGATTCGGTTCGGTAAATATTCGGTAAACCGACCGAAAAAATCGCCCGAAATCGCTTCTCATGGTATTTCGGTAATACCGGTTTGTTACCGTTTACCGGTAATTCGGTAATCGGTAAACCGGTTACAAACCGGTATCGGTAATCGGTAACCAGTTTGGCCAACTTCGATATACCGAAACCGGTAAATTCGGTAAACGGTAAATTGTTTACCGACCGAATCCCACCCCTACTTTGAATCAATCATGGCTTGAAACATAACTTGTGATCTTCTTCTCCTTGCCACTGATTTGCACCAGAAATACACAAACCAAAATCCAAGATATCTATTTTTTTGCAACCAAAGTTCAGCTTTGTGCCTGATGAACAAAAAAATTTACTTTTTTCACGTGAGTAGTATCGAAATACCATTTTGTGAATGGTAAAAAACAAAATAACGATACTTCTTCCTTCGCCGTTGTGTTTGAACGGGGCTTTGATACCACCTGATAAGATCCTAACCTCGTTAAAGTTTAGGTTCTTTTGTCAAAGTCGCACAGCTTCGACCTTCTATGGTGGTCTCCTCCTAGAGACAAGATCGTCATTGACTCTCTATGTCAAGGGAAATTGATGAACAGTTTCGGATTGAGAACTTCTAGAAGGGAATCCCCTTTAATTAGAGGCTTGTAAAAGTTGGATTCCCTTGGGCAATCTTTGTCTCCTATTTAGGTTAAATTAGGACAAACCTCTTAATTCGTATTAGCACCTAGGGTTGGTTGTAATTTGGGTGTTCGAACTCTGAGTCGAGGGTGAAGTCTAGGCAACCCTTGGTTGATAGGTCAAGAGAGCTACTATATATGGTAGCTTGAATCGGATTTCCTTGACCTATTGACCAAGAGAGTGGCGTTTGTTCACTAGTTGCACTCCCCAACGGTTTACAATCGCCTTTCCCACACCTATGAATTCGATCCGACAAGTCATTTTTGTTAGCTAGGGGGAGCAACACTCGGGCGAAGCCTTCTCAATTAGTGTCCAATCCATTTACTTTTCCAAATATTTTAGTTATAGATCGTCGTTTTGACCAAAAACCAATTGCTAGATAATATTTCAAACAATCGAAGTAGGGGTACATGGTCCGACCCAAGTTGATATTTAAACATACTTGTCCTATATTGCACTCGGTTAAGGTTTATACTTGGGACTTAATTGGGATTTTTATTGTGATATTCGGGATGAGTCAAAAGACAATGGTCTGGGGTAGGGGCAGATAATTCAAATTGACTCGTTTTTATTGCTATCCGTGTTATTCCAACCTGTGATGGTTTAGTTGCTAGGGGTCTGGATATTAAGGAGGATTGTCCGACGTGTCGGCTTGAACATGAGTCGATTGAGCATTTGTTTTTCCGTTGTCCTTTGGCTTTGTACATTTGGAACCCTGTTGGATTGGCGTCTTTCCCTGATAAGGAAGAAGCTTCTTTAATTGTTATCTTTATTCGACGCTTAATTCTTTCATCCGATTCTATGGTGTAGGATTATGTGATTTTTCAGGTTTCGTCTGTGCTTTGGCGTCTGTGGAAGAATTGATACGGTGTTCACTTTGATAAGTGTCAACTTCACCCACACACATTTGTCGCTCAATGGCGGCACAAAATGTAGGAGATTGTTCAACCTATTCTCAAATGTAGGATTCCTGTCCAACTTTCATCTGCAGGTCCTAGACTGTCTTTCGGATATCGTCCTCACTTTGTCCGGCCAGATTCGATAATGACATGTTCTACCTAGAATTGCTTCTTTGATGGTGTGACTAGTGCTCCAAATCTTGGGGCTACGGGGATCGTGTTGCAGGATGCTTCAGGTTCTATTGTTTGGGCATCTGCGCCTCGCTATCCTTTGGTGGTAACCCCCATCACAGTGGAGGCGCTAGCGTTACGGGATGCAGTCCGGATTTGTCTATCAAAAGGCATTTTCGACGTCACTTTCTGTGGGGATGCTAAAGTTCTTCTCCATCGTTGCTTGGCTGGTTTATTCGAGGATGTTAATTGTGGTGCACTTCTCTGGGAGATTGCAGGTCTTTTGGCGGAATCTAATAGGTTTCGCCTTCTTTTTGTTGGTAGGAATTACTCCCGATCCAAAGCACCCCTTCTCCATTCATAGAGAGATCCAATCGTCAATTTGAATAGGGGGCTCTTGTTGTGGCCTGTCGTGTCCTATCTTTGTTGCGCCGTCTGTTCCAGGGGTTTGATTTCGATTCTTTGTTACGTTCTGTGTAATATCTTGACATTCTCCTCTATGTGAGTGATCTAATGGCAAAAAAAAAAAAAAAAAATCAAATTGTCTCGTTTTTCAATTGATCCATCCAAACGGTCCTTTATGGCATGTTTACTTGTCATTCCGTTTCCTATAATTGGGACAATAGAAAACAAATTAAAATGGAAACAAAGCTGTCGTTTCCTGAGAAACAAAATCAAGAAAAAACTTGTTTAGCTGACAATTTTGGTGAGTTCTGAACTTCATGAATGAAGAGAAGGTTGTTTTCCGCTGGGAAACAGGGAGAAACCCATGTCCTCAATTTCAAGAAACAAAATTTCAACGTTTCCTACCAGCTACCACATTAATTCCCCATTGTTTTTACATATGAAAACAAAATATGAAAACAAAATGACAAATGAACAAGTTTTTTCATTTGTGTTTCCAAATTTCAATTGCCACAACAAAAAACAGGAAACGAAATGGCAAGTGAACGTGGCATTAATTTTAGCATTAAATATGGATGAGTGTCGGGTTATCGTGCATTTGTTCGCCTAGCAGAGTAGTTTCTCTGTAAGTGAGTGATATATAATAAGAGGGGAGCAAATAGACCAGTTTCCTGCAAGATAGCAACGGTAACCAAAGTTGTCATAGGAAAACTACAGACGCTTAGAATCCAGATTACCATGCAACAAGCCACTTGTTCTATTGTTCACTGCAGTTCGTTAACGAAATATATAAGCATTGAAAAGAGAGAGAAGCGTGAACGTTACGTTGCGTATATTTTTCAGACCTCCCAATTAATAGTGCTTTCTGTATTTCCATATTCATTCAACATGAACAAACGCAAGCCACTAGAGAGCTCATACTGATACATATACGAATACCCAAAGATATGTACAGCCAGCCATCTAAAACGGGAGGAAGAGCCACTGGAATGCAATCACGAGCACTGCAAGAAAGAAAAACAATCATAAAAACCAGACGCCAATCCCAAATCAAGTTAGCATTACCACGCTAAGCTTGAGCCAGATTGACGGGTTAAAAAGTGACATGAAAGGAGTTCAAACATTGTAGAAAGATTTTGTAACTTACATCACAAGCTGTAGCTGGTGAGGTATGATAAAGCTTATAGTCAACCCATTTGCCACTATATCAAACCCACACAAATGGATCAGTTTCTCCAGCCAATTTCATCTCCAATGAAGACCACCAACGAGTAAGCAATCTAGACCGAATGGCCACACGACCTTTTATCACTTGAATACACTTATATATAAGGAGCCACCATACCATAATCTACAACGTCTTGTTTAATGTCTACACGAAGAGAAATCGCAGGGATTGAAAGAGAAAGCGAGGAGTCGTAGAACAAAACCTTGAGCACCGGTTCGCCTTTGTTCTGGTTTGCAGATTGCTTTGCCATTGCCTGTAACTGTGCCCTTGCAGCCCTTCCAGCAGCGGATTTTTCGAATTGCTCTTGCCTGCAAATGGGTTACCGTCATCTAAAAACATTTGAACACCATCTCTACCACCCCATTGCTCTATAACAAGCTGAAACCTTGAGAGTAGTAAAAGTGGCTTTGTCCATCAACCTCCCCTGAGATGTAAAACCTTAAAAATAGACAGTTAAACTTTGCATCTGTGCCATGAAAGACGCAATGCTTGGCATAAGGATACTCAAATCATTAGAACGCCCGGACAATTCTAATGATCAATCCACGGTTTCATTCAGCCAAATTCGTTCAATTCAATCGCTAGGATCGTAAAATGGCGCAGAATCAACCAATAGATGAATGATCCTTTCACAAATTCAAACCACTCTGCTTGACTAATTCCTCGCAACCTCCCAATTCTCCGGCTACACTCAGAAATCATACTATCTCAAGTCTCGGCGAAACATTAAAAAATCCAACGGATTATCCGATGGAAGCCATCGGAGCCGGAGACGGCAAGTAAAGATGAAATTACCTTATCTGGGCCGCTTCGGCGGCTTTTGCGCGAGCCTCCAACGACAATCGCTCCTCTTCCTCCCGGCTCTGCCGCTTGTTGCCTCCGCCGAAACAAGCGAAGCACGACACCATTTCTCTCTCTCGCTCTCTCAATCAGCCAGCCAAGCCAAAATACTTTTCCGGCTTTCCTTTTCCACAGTTTTGCCCTGATGCTGATAATTTTTCACCCGAACCTTCTTATTTATAGATTCCGGATTACTTCACCTTTCCCGGCGCTTTTCCGCCAATGAAGTCCAGCCACGTCATGCGTCAAGGTCTCACTTCACTTGACATTTCCGCCTTCTTAATGCAAAACGACGACGTTTCGATCGCCGTTGTCGAAAACGCGTTATAGTTGGTCCGCTGTCGTGAAGCTGGAGAACCGGCGACGGGAAGGAGAGTATATCAGAATAAAAAGAACGATGAGGATCCCGCCGTTGGAATCGCTTCCGCCGACGAAAACTTTGGAGCTCGAGAACGGCCTCTCGCTTGTCCCGAGGGTGAAGCTCGAGCTGACGGTCCACCCGACGCCGTCCTCCGTCGCGAAGCAGATCGACGAGTGGAAGCTGAAGCGCGCTCTGGCAGAGTTTCTGAAGAATTCGCTCTCCGTGCCAATCGAAGTCCCGGAAGAGGATCTGGAGTTCCGGCGGTTCAAGGACCTGAAGAAGCGGAAGCGCGAGGATCCCGTGGCGCACGGCACTCTGTCGATTCGCGACTTAGGGTTCCTCAACAGGAAGAGGAGAGGCGACGAGGATAAGGAGGAAGATGCTAAGGAAGTCGAGAATAAGTTTACGGAATGGAGGAAGTACATTGTTGAGAAATTGGACGGAATCGAGCTGAACCTGGAAGGTGATCAGTTTAAGTTGAGTGTTGCTGTGCCGGCATCGGATGATTTTCAAGGGATGAAGAAGAGTTGGGAGGAGGCCTCCGCTTTTGGAAATCGAGGTTTTGATCTGAATTGAAGTTCTTCATTCATTTGCTACTTGGAATTGATTCTGTTTATGAAGTGGCGTTGTTATTGTCGAGCAGGGTTCTCAAGAGGAGGAAGGCAAGAACCAGATACAATTGTAGTAAGAGGGTTACCGTCTAGATGGTTTGCGGAGCCAAGAGTTTCTTCCAAGCCTTCGATGCTCGTTACCCATACCATTTTCTCGGCATTTGGGAAGATAAGGTAACCCGCTAGTGTTAATCTTTTCATGTTTGCTCTGCCATTCTGGATGAGTAACTATAACTTACTCTATTCATGGTTAGGTGCATTATGGGTTAGAGTTGCTGCCAGTTAAGGGAACAATGGGATTGCTCTGCGTGTTCCTTGTCTATCTCATTCAGAAAGTTTAAACCTTTTGATCTGCTGTGACAATTGCTTTCAGAAACATTAGGCTGCTTATCATAATAAAGCTCTGAGTGATAAATGGTTATTGGCTTATCTTGCATCATGAGGGTTAATGATCCAACTGCAACTGAGCTGACCCTTTTGGCTGTTTCCTCTGCACAACAGTTTGAATTACTCGTACTTTCTGCTGAAAATTATTTGTCTCCTTCATGCTAAATAGGAACCTTAGTGTCGTTGAGGATGACCAAGATAAGGCTGCTGATGGAATAGGTGGGGGAGACATAATTTCAGGTCTGCACTGCAAGATTGTGGTTCAGTTTGAGAAGCACACAGATTTCTGCAATACTCTTAGAATCTTGTGTGGCCGCTCTTTGCAAAAGGTAGGAGCTCTTATCTGTGTGTGTGGTCTGCAGTCTTGAAATTATTGTGCCTGAATTCACATCCGCCGCTGCTGCCACCTTTCGTTCATTATACGAGTCTTCATCAATCAAGTATACTATATATTCTAGTATCAGTAACTCGTCCACTTTGCCAGTGGGAAGCTGGGATAGGCCAGCTTGAATGGCGGGCAGTTGATGTTGATCAGTCCATAATAACTAATGTACTTTCTCCACTTGAACAGCAAGGATCCAGATTAAAGGCCGATTATGACGTTACCTGGTCCAAAGAAGGCTTCTTCCAAAATGCAAGAAATCAAGCGGTAGAAAAGAGTAGCCGGATGCCAGCAACCTTGGGTGGACATCATAGAAATGAACTCCGCAACAGGGTTGAACCGTACATTTCGAGATTCAATTCTGAAGATACACGGCGCAAGAGATTCAAGGTGAGTAACCAAGGCAATCATACAACTGAAAGATCAACACTCATTGTTCCAGTTTATCAAGTTGATCAAAGCTGATCTGCTGCTAATGGAGAGATCTTTTTTGTTTCTTGGAATGCAGGAATGAGGATGATGAGCGAGAGGAAGGAAGAAAAGAAGGATAGTGGAGTGTTGTGTAGCAGATTTTCCTTCTGGTATGAGAATATACACAGTTTCTGCTGACTTTTGTTGTACAATGTATCAAATGCCTCTTGAGGGAATAGCAAGTTTGCTCATTTGGATTTCATTCATTTTGTCATTTAAAATGAAATGAATTCTCGATTCATTTGATACCAAACGATCTATTAAAGTCGGTGACCATTAAGCAAGGAGTGTTGTGTAGCAGATTTTCCTTCTGGTATGAAAATATACACAGTTTCTGATGACTTTTGTCGAAGGGAGGAGCCGTATGAGATGGAACATAAAAAAAATGATCAAATCCTATAAAATTCGTAGCGTCAAGCGTCGATACTGACTTCAATGAATTTTAATCGAAATGAGACTTTCTCAATTGGTCCTCGGGTCATACTGAGAATTAAGCATTGAAGTCTTTTCGAACGGAAAGAAATAAGTCCAAATACACTAGCTAACCATGCCAACAACTTTCACTTTCTATTATAGGAGTAGGGGCTGGCTGAGGCTATGAAGGCTTTCCAACTTGCTTCAATTAGGGAAGAACTATGAAGCATTTTAGAGTATTCTATTCACTTTTTCAGCTGGATCCGGGTCTTGCTATTCTTCGGTATGAAAAAACTTTATTTAGTAGACAGATGGGCTTTTTTCGAAAGGCTATCAACTTATACCTATTTAGATATTACAGTCTAACAATAACAAACAAGAACAAAAGGAAGCAACAGTTCTACCAGATCCAGGTGGTGTAGGAAGTAGTGAAAGCTGGGGGCTGGGAGGTCTGAACCTTGTTCGAAACTCCATGCTGATGAAGCGAGTACTCTTGGTTACGAGGCGTAGTGGGTTTAGTACGCCCCGCCAAAAGGGCTCCGAAAGAAAGAAAGAAAAAGGTGTGTGCCGTGAGGGTGGATCATATAAGATCATAACAGAATCTAGTTGATCCTTTGACGAAAGGATTACCTAGAGAGAAAAGTCCAAAATACCACGAAGGGTATGAGACTTATGCCTACCGAACCATGGATTACAACTACAAGTGATGGTAACCCGACCCGATAGACTGGAGATCCCAAGAAACGGATTCAATGGGTAATAACAAGTCATGAGTAATATTGAGAAAAGTTCATGCATAGTGAAGCATGAATCCCAAAGCCTTGGAGGTTGAGTTAAACTCTTAATGAGATCTATACTCTATGTGGAGTGAAGTACTTTACTTTTGGGGTACTTCTGATAGACTCACCTATGTGAATGTGAGAGTGGGGCCGCTCCCTATGGAACTTTGAAAGCACAAAGTTGCTAGAGCGTTCACTAGGGATAACGTGCATGACCATAAACGCACGGCCTATGAGAGAATATCACTCAATGAAAGATCCGGTGTGCTACATTGTCTGAGATAGGGTTCAAGACTACGAGTCACCCTTATGAAATCGAAAGTGTAACCACTACGATAAGGTTCAAATCTTCGTGATACCTTAGCTTATGCCCGATCTTATGGAACTGTTGATGCTCAAGATAGTTTCAAAACCAAGGTTGTCAACCCGCGGGTTGACCCGGACCCGGTCTAGCTAGTGGGTCAAGGGTTAATGGGTCAACCTTTTTAGTCCGGTTTGGCCCGGAAATATAGAAAGAGTCATTATATTGCACTTATCCTCATAAATTATATCAAATCTTTTCTAACATATGAGTTATAACATATAATATTACACCAAAATAACATTTCGTACTTAGATCCAACATATAGTGAAAATTCACACACACTTATATAACATAAATATTCAAATGTTCAACTTAGTATTCCAAAGATTGAGTTAGGCGAAAAGGAAAATTGGAAAATAGGCTCATTTCGCAAACTAAAGAAAAAATGACACAATTTGACCTCCAACCCGGTACCTAATAGCGGTCGGCCCGGCGGGTGCGTGCGGCCCGTTTTTCTCACCGGGTCAGGGTCAAATTGGGTCGACCCGTGGGTCAACCCGCGGGTTGACAACCTTGATTCAAAACTATTCAAGTGAGGGATTGTTGGGATGAATAGCTTTGAAAAGCTATAAATAAATTCCTAATTAATTATCCAGTATTTTCCCATAACACATAAATAAGATGGATAATTAATAAAAGGAATATTATGGAGATAATTAGTATTAATTATCTTAATATATTATATTTTAATTATGGGAGCAATTATCTCCCTAATTAAAATGTGACCTATTCCCAAAGAAAGAGAGAATATTCTGGGTTTTCTGCTCCTATAAATAGCAGACGCCCCAGACCCTCTAAACACACTTCAGAAGAGCAGAAACAGAAGAGAGAGTGAATTCATAGAGCTCCGGTTTTTCGCACAAAACCGATAAGCAAGAAACTTAGAATGACTGTTTTATCCTGGAGGCGACCGACTAATAGTCTGTTGTGCGCAATACGAGATAGTGCCGCGAACGTCTTAAAGAAAGCGACCTAATCTGCTACTCAGCCAGATTCGGTAACCTAATTTTTCCTGTTCGATTTCTAACAAAAGCGGAACCATCGATGAAGTGTGTTTTATTGTTTTTGCCGATTAAATCTATATACTCCATGCTTGAACTCTTTGCGTCATCTGTAGTCATCTGCTTTGGCTTAATCCCGATAACTTTCTGGTTGCTACTGCCATCCTCTTTTTGTCTAATATAAAATATAAGAGATGTGGTGAAGATGATTACCTGCATGATTTTAGCTCCCCTGCACTGCAGCTATATATTCATCTTGTCATTTTTCTTGGTCCAATAAGATGATGTCTGCAATACACAAATCCCACCATCATTTTCATCTCCATCTTGATTCTGAATTTTGATTTATTTGGTGTCATGTCGTGTTACTTTAATTTTAGCCCACAATAGAACAACTAAAAATGGTGAAGCTCAGAAGAAAGAAGAAAATGAGAAACTTGTCTACTTTTCTGTTTGCCTTGCCATTTCCTTGCTACCGACATCCAAGAAGTGGAGTGATTGACAGGCGCTCTCTCTCTCTCTCCATAACACCTGCCATCCCCCTCATGGTCTAAAAATGGAGGCAAGCAACCAAGAGAAGAAGAAAGAGAGGGTGATTCATGAACAAAAGTTGGCTTCTTTCTTGACTTTGCCGTAGTGGGTACTTAAGTTGAAAAACGAATCTTCCTTCCCTCCTCTCGCCAGATATTTTTTCACCAATTCTTCAATAACCCAATTCAATTGTAAGGCGTTGTCGACTCTTTCTCAATTCTCATAAAAACCATCGCCTCCGCTTCCCCCCGACCTCCAAAGCACTGTCTCCCTTTCTCTCATGGCTTCTTGTCCTCTTTAGAAAACCTCCAAAAAATCTATCTTTTCTGCTACCCATATAAAATTTTATCCATTTTCAGCCTATATTTCTCAAAGAAAAAACAGAGTATTCGTTTTTTTGGGGGAAAAGTGGATGACGGGAGATGGGTACGAGAAGCTGGGTTCGGAGAAGCCCGATTACGATGGAGATGGAGAAGAGAAGAAGAAGAGCAGCGTGTGGAAGAAGGTGAAATACCAGCTCGTGGACTACCACGCGCTGCCTGGTTACATGAAGGACAACGAGTACATCCATCGCTACTACAGAGCGGAATGGCCCATCACGCAGCTCCTCCTCAGCGTCTTCCGCATCCACAACGAAACCCTCAATATCTGGACGTAATTAATTAATCAGCGCAGATCAGTAATCACGTACTGATTTCATTCCTCTCTCTGGGTTTTCAATTTTGAACTTCAATTTTATTGCAGGCATTTGATGGGGTTCTTTCTGTTTCTGTTCCTGACGATATACACGGCGAAGAAGGCGCCGGAGATGGTGGATCTCAATTCGCTGCAGCGGCTGCCGGAGTTGCTCCGGTCGTCTTCCGGGGAGCTGTACAAGGAGTTAATTGGGTGCTTGTCTTCTTTCCCAAACATGCATGATCTTCATAGGTTGAGGGAAGATCTCCAGGCTTCCTTTACCAATCTTAGCCTTGTGGAAGTTCTCAACAATTGCCTCCCTAAACGAGTCCTCCAACTTCATCGGTCTAACGACTCCATCCTCGAGGTATTTCCTTCTTTACTTTTTCATCCACACTGATCTTGCTTCATTGGGTCATATTGATTGATATACATGCTAAAGCAACTTTTTCGGGTACCAATAAGTTTTTGAAATGAAGGTTAGTTGTGCCCTCTTCATGTAGGCAATGAATTGTCTTCTAATGATTAATCTTATTCTGTATATGAATCATCTCCATTGAAGGAATATCAGAACTCCTGAAGGCTGCACAAGTATGAATAGACATAGTTACTCTCTGCATAACTGCATTAGCAACTGATAAGGTTGTCTCATGATCTCTGGAGCTGAGGTTTTCCAGTTTGGGCTAGTAGTCAAATAAATAACACAATTCGGAGCCACGCGTTGAACTAAACACGCATGCTGACTGCTGATTTCACCTACACTTGTGTTGAACTTTGCATTTAGCCTCAGGATCTCTGGAGCTGTACTTTTGCCCTAGGGATCATACACCATAAAGGGGTTTTCTTCGGTGGCACCGTGGCAGACTATGGAACTCCATAGAACTTGAAATGTGTGCGATGTAATGGAAGCATAATGTACTGTTGAGATGATGCTGATAGAATTTCAACTTAAAATGCAAAAAGTTAGAGATGTCCAGGGAGAGTTGGGTCATATTACATCGTCGAAGCAGCCTTTTATGTGAACTTTGAATGTCAGCAGTGGCCTGCAACTTTATGTGGAATGCTAATCTCAAACTTCTTAATGCAAACAAAACTTGCAGCAAGGAAGTGGCAAAGAGGAAGAATCATTGAGCAACTTGCTGTTGGGTCCCCTACTATCCCCGCAGCCAGCAATCACAAGATGGCCATTCTACATATTCATGGGAGGAGCAATGTTCTGCCTACTATCCAGCAGCATCTGCCACCTCTTCTCCTGCCACTCCCAGCGCATGTCCTACATAGTCCACCGTGTCGATTACACAGGAATCGCCTTGCTCATTGCCACCTCATTCTACCCGCCTGTCTACTACTCCTTCATGTGCAGCCCCTTCTTCTGCAACCTCTACCTGGGTGCCATCACAGTGATGGGGATCGTCACAATGATCTTCTCGTTGCTCCCGACGTTCCAGAGGCCCGAGTTCAGGAGCTTCCGGGCCTCGCTGTTCTTCGGGATGGGGGTCTCCGGGGTCGTGCCCATACTTCACAAGTTGATCCTGTATGGGACCCACCACCCTGAGGCCCTGCAGACGACCGTTTACGAGGTTCTGATGGGGGTTCTGTACGGGTTGGGGGCTCTGATCTATGCGACCAGGGTCCCCGAGAGATGGAAGCCTGGATGTTTCGATCTCGCCGGCCAAAGTCACCAGCTGTTTCATGTTCTGGTTGTGGCTGCTGCGTTTACTCATTACCAGGCTGGCCTTGTTTACTTAAAATGGCGGGACTTGAATGGTTGTTAGGGGTTCCAAGTAGTAATTGGATATGGAATTGTTTCGGTTCATCTGGGATTTCGGCGGGGGAATGAGAAAAAAAAAATTAAAAATTAATTCAATGCTTTCATTGAGAGTTAAACTCAAGACCTCCCGCTTACTAAACGGGTGCTCTAACCAACTGAGCTATGAAAGCTTGTTTGTTTAATTTCTCATTACTTCATAGTTATCAATTTTAATGTCCCACGAAATGATTTCATTCAATCTAAACCAAAATATAATACGAAACAAATTCTTTACATAGAAATTTTATAATAATTTATAGTATCAGTGATTTGATTTTAAAACAAATCTTTTATTGTACAAATTGAATTTGTACCTTTAAAATTATGATACAAGTTTAGTTTATACTTATATCTTTTGTAAAAAACATACAGGTTTGTAAAAAACAAAAAACTGTATGGTACAAATTTAACTTGTATATTTAACGTTATGGTACATATTTGTTTTGTATTTATATCTTCTCGTACAAATTTCTTTTTGGCACAAACTGATTTTTTAGTTTTATGTTATGGTAGCAAATCTATTAATAATAGAATCTCCATCCATACCAATAGCATACTCTCTGACAAAGAAAATAGTTAAGCAATCAACGAAAAATTCATTGTTAATTTTGTTGCGAAAATCGGTTTTACATGTTTCATTGCTGAAAAAATGTTCTCTCCATGGCGGTCGTTCAAACGGGCAAGGTCGACATTTGACAAATCAATTGATAAATCAATGTATATTGTGTGTCCATACCTGTTTCCGCTAGCTTATCTAGTATTTTTGCAAGTGAAGAAAATTCATATTCCTCACTATGAACCACATGAGCAGGATAATATCGTAGCTCATTATTCAAAGAATGCATCTCATAGCCTTCAAAATTTCGAGGCTAAACTCTTGAGCAAGTTTGTAAATATTTTATTTATCAAAATAACGGAAAGATTGCAGTGTGTTTGTTATTACAACGTTGGTTTTCTATTAAGTTTTTGTTGTATCATTTTTAAGAGGACCTTTCCTGGCTATAGTTTGATATTGCATAATGATTGCTACACTGTGTTTGCTTCATATGTAATTGTCCATCTTTATGATTTTTTACATGAAATTTTTTCATAATACACCTTCCTAGTGAAACTACTACGAGCAAGACCCTAACAAATACCAAGGGTGTTCTCTCTTAGATTAGACTCGGTGAATCTAACAAGTGAGTGAACCACCTTATTATATCTCAAAGGATGGGCAAAGCTAGCTTAAGTCTCGCGTGCTATTTTGTGATTTCATAATTTTTCACGAAGTTGCAATCATCATTTTTATCCCGAATGCACTCACACATTCTTTTCTTAGGTCCCGATCATGAAAAGTAATTCGCTTTCATTTTCAGTTTGCCAACCAGTCTATCTGAAACTCTATTGAAGGGGTTTTTCCATACTCCCAGAAACAGAGCTTGTTCCAGGTGTGACATAGTTGTACAATATAAATGGCATATTCGCTAAACTAAACGTTAATTTTTTTAGTGGTATTAGCTCTTTCTAATACAACTTCTAATAAAAATATATTGATTGTAAAATAAATTTGTCAATACATATTTATGGTTATCCTTACAAATAAATCTAAGATACAATTTAAATAATATAAACTTGAGACATATAATTTCAGTTTACATATATAACGAACCAAAAGCCCCTAAAATTGCTGCATTGCCTATGGCATTGAAATCGTTCTCCCAAGTCTGGATCTCAGGCACAAAGGATTCAACATTGATAATTTCTCTAGCCGACACATCGACACAACCTTCATAGTTTTGTGCATGATCAATAATGCTAATCCTCTCATAATTTTGTTCGGGGATTTTAGTTGGAGGGGTAGTTAGCAATGGTGATAGTTTTCTGGCCTGTATTTCCGAAGAAAGATTCATGATAGTAAAAGTTGAAAAAAGTATATATGCAATAATGAAGGGTGAGGAACTTGGAGAACCCATTTATTGAATTTTTTTTCTTATTTCCGGGATAGAAAAAGATTGAAAGATCTATCGAGTGAATATATGAGTGATTACTTGTGCCTCACAGTGATTGGTTTGGGAGATTTGAATCGAGCATTATCGTGATAATAAATTTATAGGACAATATTAGTTTTCCAACTACGTGGATTTGTTGTTTTGATGGACATGATTGGTATTTCTTCTAATGGTTAACGAAATTATGATGGATTTGTTTAATATGGGTATAAGCTGCAAACTATATGCAATGAACACATATAACAACCTTTGTGTGCTAGAATTGGATAACTAATTGCTGCACATGAATCGGTTTTCCAAGAAACTTGATATATCGTAATGAAACTTCACACCATGTCCTTGCAACCAGATTATAGAAACACAGGAATGCGTGCCAGATTATGATATTAAGTATAATTGTGATGTGATTAGTCATTTAACTGTGAAGAGATATTCATCGATGCTTAACTGTTATGCATTGGAAGCTCTTTAAGATAACGAGAAAAAAACCAAACAACAAAAATAAAGAGGTGGGGGATAACCTGTTTTGTTACTCAATTGTTATGGCTATTTATCCAGCAGTAGAATTTGATGGACATGCTATTTTTATAGGGTTAATTGCAAGGATAGTCATAGTGATTACTAAAAAGTAAAAACGTTCATGTTTAGTCACTAAAAATATTTAATTCCAATCGTGGTCACTAAAATTAATAAAATAGTTTAAGTTTGGTCACTCTCCATCCAACTTCGTTAATTTTGTCTGATGTGGCAGTCAACTCTCATAGTTGACCATTAGATATATGACGTGGCAATTAAAAAATAATACAAAAAATAAAATTTAACCTATTTTAAATTTTCAACTCATTATCACATTAAAAAATTAAAAAAAAACTAATTTCATTCTCATCCATAAATCTAATTTGTTCGGCAGCATCCCCACCCCAGCCGAGGTCGTGCTGCCTTCTCCGGTGGATATCACCCCTCTCAGCTTCCCCGTCGCCCACCACTACACAACCTTCAGCCTCCTCGGTTGCCGTCATCGTCGCCAATTACTTTGCTCGGTGGCCTTCTCCGATGTAGGTGGCGTTGTTGACGAAGGGGGCTTCTTGGTTTCCTCAGATCTGGAGCGAATCATTTCTGGGTAGAGCCGTAGAGGTAAAGTTGGGTGAGGAAGAAGGAGCAGCGCCACAATCAGACGCGGAATTGAGGGCGAAGTGGTGGCTGGATATTATAGCCAAACTCTTCGGTTCCCTCTTGGCCTTCGGCTGCTGATTCCCCTTTGTTTCTTGAAAAGGTTAAAGCAGCGAAATACGCAGGACTCGCCGTGGAAGACAGACAAAATGGAAGCTTTAAGCTGGGTGGGGACATCGAAGGCGCTTCTTTGATGCTCGACTCGGCAGTCAAATTTTGGTCAAACGCCATGATCGACGACACGTCCAAGCTGACTATCATAATGCAAGAGGCGGCATCGTTCAAGGTCAGACACGGGCAGGAAGCAGAAGCTCTCCGAATTTCAGGGGAAGATGGTGACTCCCGCCTTATTCGACCGGGCTTAAGCCCTCTCCTTCTTTTCTCCGGCCTGGGCCGCAACCCTCTCCTTTCTTTTCTTCCTTTCCGGAAACGAATGGCGACGGAGGAATTCGAGGCGGCGCAGGTGGTTTTGGTGTTTGGAAGGCGGGTGAAGGCATACTCATGTAGGGTTTTGGTGTGAAGCATAATCCATGAAACACTAATTTAGTTGAATTAGAAGCCCTCTACCTACCCGTGAATATATAATTATATATACAGTCCACTCCAATAAAGAGTAGTTTATAAGAGATTAATTTTTTTTTAATAGTTGTAAAAATGAGGTGAAAATTTTAAAAGTTAAATTTATTATTTTATTATTATTTAATTGTCACATCACACATTTAACGATCAACTATAAAAGTTGATTGTCACGTCAGACAAACTTAACGGAGTGGACAGAGAATGACCAAATTTGAACTATTTTACTAATTTTAGTGACTAATATTGGAATTAAATATTTCTAGTGATCAAACATGAACATTTTTAACAATCTCAATGACTAACCTTGTAATTAACCCTATTTTTGTATGAATGAGCATTTCATTTCATCAAGACAGGCAGGGCAAACGACTTCAGCCTATAAATTGTCTACTTCCAAGCCCTTGTTGCCCCACTTGCATGTGTAATGTTGCAACTGTTTTAACTTTTAAGCTTAGGTATATTCTTCCAAGCCCAAAACTCTTCAGGGCACTTCCCGTATATTCACATTTTGAAACATATATTCCATTAGCCAGGAATTCCAAAGAGATTGTGCATCCACTAACAATCCCCATATCTGCTTTAAAAGGTGGACTTGGTTCCAACTTATAAACCCCCTCCTTTTTGATACTGAAACATGCTTCCAAGTAGGGATGATAATGAGTTGGGTTGTGGGTTTTGTCAAATTCAAATCCAAATTCATGGGTTTATCCGTAAAAAAAAAATTCAGGATAAAATCCATTGGGTTTGGAAAACTCAAACCCAACCCAACCTGCTGGGTATCTGCGGGTTTGTGGGTACTCGTGAGTTTTTGTGGTAAACAATTTACAATAACAAGTTCCTATCAAAATAAAATTCATACATCAATTTTCCCATACATATTATCCATACATAAAACACTAGTCTAGAAAATTCAAACAAATGAAAATTACATCAAATAAAAGCACACAATTCTTTGTTTTTCTTTCATTCCCTTTTTGTTTGTGTGAGAGCAGCAAACCAACAAACATGGTGTGTTCAGCTTCAATTATTAATTTATCCCTCCCACTTCTTTTGGGAAAAATGAAACACTACCTTGGTAAGAAATAAAATTAGGGTAGGGTTTGGGGAGAGTAGGACGACGGAATAAGTGTGGAAGGGTATCCATAGGTCAAATATCCTTAAAATCAAACTCAACCCGATAAACAATGTACCAGTTTTAAACCCGAACCTGGCCCAAAACCCGTCAAAACGGGTTTTACCTGCGTTGACCGGGTTAATCAGGTAGGGTTCTCGTGAGTTCGGATTTTGTTGTCATCCCTACTTCCAAGCCACTTTGACGGTCTTATTTTCATCTGCACAGCCCCATAAGAATTAAAAACAATTGAACAACTATTTTCCACTTCTTTGATCACTTTGCTAGTAACTAAAATTTTTGCATCTAATGTTGTTCGAAACCCCATGTTCTATGGCATCTTAGGGTTAGGTTAGATATTTAGGAATTAGAGGTTAGAGGGCAGGAATTGGAGATTTAGGGATCCGAGAGATGATCAGGAAGAATTGAGAATTTACAATAAAAGAAGAACATGATTTTGAATTGGGGAATTGAAGAGAAGAATTAGGAGAGAATACATGACAGCCTTCGGGAGAGAAGAGAGCCAATTTTTAGAGGATTAGAGATTGTGGATTGGGATACTTTTCTTACTACTTATTTGACTGATTCTAACTAAATATCCAAAATATATATGCATATAAAATAATAGAAAATCTTAATAATTAGCAACTCAAATACTACTCAATTTTCAGAGCTCTTTCCATCTCCTCCATATCAGCTGCAAGGTTGTAAGCTGACTTTAAACTGAACCTGCTATTTTGCTCCAGTCCCAAGAATATAGCATTCTCTCCCAGTTTGGTTTTACCCGAAACCGGACCTAATAACACGGACCGAGACTGGATCGGGACCGGATAGTAAAGAATCCAATTCCGTTTTTTGGCTTAGATTTGAGGTAAAAAAATAATTTTGGACCGGATCGGAAACCGAATAAAGACCGAATAAGATAGCCCAACACCCAAAACCAAACCAATTCCTCCTTCTTTCAGGGGTCAACCCACTCAAACCCCCCACAAGATCAATCTAAAATCAAGACCGGATTGGGATCGGACCGGATCAAGACCGGAATGTATCCAATCCCGTATGTGATCTTCATATTCCCGAAAAGACCGGACTGTGACTGGATCAATTCGGCCAACCACCCCTACTCCTAGCTTAGGATAAGGTGCTTCCACACCTGCAATGACCGAGAGGATATCATTAGGGAGATACATTCTGAGTTTTTCCCAGTTCCACTCACCTTTCTCTGTTGTCCAGTCAGCCACCAAAGAGTCCTTCTCCTCCTCAGCAATGTTAATGATGGCATGATTAACAAGGTGGGACTTCCTTTTCCCTTCTCTAGATCCCTACACAAAGTCTCTAACTTTTCTATCAAATGAGTCACATATGGATGTAGGCAAAAAAGGTGGTCTGCATAGCATAAGTAGTGTGAGCATTGAGGACAAACAACTAGGGTAACTCTACTAGCAAGGGACAAAGTTCTGGTTTTTCAAATGGTCAGTTTTTTTTATCGATCCTATCAATAATGTATTTACTTGTTGTCTTAGTAATGCAACAAAGAATCACTGGACCACAAGGTATATCCCTAAGTCAGAGGTAACTTGTATTCCCAGTCTGTTACAAACTAGGATATTAACCCAAAAACAAAAGCAAATTAGACGTTCGGCTAAATTATACGTTTGGTCACTCAAATTACGTAAATCTTTCACGTTTGTCACCCGAATTAATTTTTTTTCTTGTTTGCCACTAACTTTACGAATCATTTCACCATTAGTCACCTGTCATTAGTCTCCGTTAGATTTCGTCAACTCCGTCATTTTTCTTGATGATGTTGCAAACGAAACTGCTGACTTAACCGTTAACTTAATAACATGTCAATTTTTAAAATAAAAAATAAAATCAACCATACGAGTGGCCCACCTTCCCCCTCCATAATCTTCTTCGCTTTCCCCTCCGAAACCCCTCGTCCCAAGCCCACTCACAGGTCGCCGCCGCCGCCAACGCTAACTCCCCGGTTAATCCTCCTGTCGACTCGCCGGTGAATTCGGAGCTGGAACAGAACACGATGTCGACTGCAATGACGAGGACGCCACGATAAAGCAGCTGAGGGTGGGGAGTGGGAGATCTTCTCCGGCGGGGAAGATATCTGCGGCGATGACTGACAACAAATCGATTTCCTTTTCTAATTCAATCTTGACCTCAACCTCTCTTCCATCACTTTTTCTCTTTCAATTCGATTCCTTGCAATGATGTCAGCTACGACGACAGTTCGAGAAGAGGAGGAAAGTTTAAATCCAATGAAAGACCATACAGATCTCGATTCCCACATGGCAATGAACGTTTTTGATGCAGAGGTCTTCAAAACTGACAAATAACAAAGAATCATTTTGCACCAATCTTTCTCTTTCCCATTTTTTGCAATATGATCGGTCATCGGTGAAGAGGAACCATCCCGCATCCGGCGGTAGGCAGGCTAGGATGATGATTCAGCAGAGAAACGTTGAGACCCTCCCCGAACAGAAGAGACACTTCACACGTGTGACATCTCTACGAGAGCGACACCGTTTCGTTAGTTTGATAATTTTTATAATTTTTGTTTAAATTGACATGTCATTAATTTAACGGTTCAGTTAATAGTTTCGTTTGCCACATCATCAAAAAACTAACGGAGTTAATGGACACTAATGATCAGTGACTAACGGTGAAATGATTCGTAAAGTTAGTTACGAATAAGAAAGACAATTAATTCAAGTGACAAATGTGAAAGATTTATGTAATGTGAGTGACCAAACATGTAATTTACCGACCAGACGGGCTTCAATATTGCGTGCTAGGCCCAGGGTTCAATTTTGTGGGCCAAACTATGCCAATCTTGTCCCTTAACACTCCAATTTTGTGCCCATATCTCACCTCTTCCCGCGGCTACGCATATTAGGGTTTTGGAGTCACCGGACAGAAAATCGAATTCCAACCAAAAGTGTACCAAAGGTTTTGCTTCCCCTTCTCTCGACCTCCTTCTCTGGTTAAGTGGTTATTTGTTCCGACTTCCAGTTCTTCTATTGGAAAAACGCATCCGTCGCTCTTAGCACAGAAAAATGGGCGTAAAGGCGAAGAAAGCTCTGAAAACTAAACTGAAGAAGGTAGCGGCTGCATCCCAAGCCGCTGAGAAGAAAGAAGCAGCTGCTGCTGCCGATTACTTGGTAGGGTTCCCGTCTTGAGCTTTCATTTTTATTCCAATTTGTGAACTGCTTGCTCGTTTTCTGATGACTGTTCGGCCGCATGTCTCTCTTCAAGCCTTTAGAAGGTGGAAAAGGGCGAAAGATACCAGAAGGCAAGCAGGCGGTAGGAAGTACTGCCAAGGCTACCGTACTGTACATTGGTCGGATCCCTCATGGTTTTTATGAGAGCGAAATGGAAGGTTGAAGCTCTTTGTATGAGAAAGTTGTGTAATTTGATTGGCGGCTTTTTGGAGTGGTTGTGAGCTAAAACTGTTGCTTGTTTTCTCTGACAGCTTACTTTTCACAATTTGGGAAGGTTAAGAGATTGAGAGTTGTCAGGAACAGGAAGGTATGATCCCTCAACTGTTTGTGTTGATTATTTTCTTGCGGTGGTGAATTGTTGTATAGAACTATAGATGGTATAGTTGTTTCAGTAACTTTACTTTCTGGAGAATCTTCTTACTCTGAAAAGCTCACTCCTGAATCAGACTATGCAGAATTTGGTTGTAGCATGGTGGTTTTATAGTTAGTTATGGATCGGTGATCTGACTTCTTGCTTTACAGACTGGAAAATCTAAGCACTATGGATTCCTTGAATTTGAAGATCCTGAGGTTGGATTGTCTTGTCTTTTAAATAAGTAAATACCAGATTGCTAGTACTATGTTGCCTGTGTTGCTTTATCCGACGATGTTTTTGGTTGTAGGTATCCGCAATTGTAGCTGATTGTATGCATAATTATCTTCTGTTTGAGCATCTTCTGCAAGTCCACCTTATCCCACAGGAGCAAGTTCATCCGAAATTGTAAACCCCATGTCTACTCTAGTCAATCTCTTTCTATTGTTTAATAAGTTTTGTAGTTGGTTCTGTCACATAGCTTGCTGACTCTTTCCATGCTGTCTCTCTTCTGCTGTAGGTGGAGGGGTTACTTTAAATACCGACCGGTGGACAGAGTCAAGATTCAACGCAGGAGGCAGAACAAGGTAGGAATATGGATACCAGTTGATACTGAGTTCCTGGTTCTTCTTGTCACTCATTGAGAATGAATTTTTGAATCCTTTTAGTAGTTCAATGTGGTAATTCTTCAATCTGCATTTTGTTGCTTCATTGCAGGAGAGAACTCTCGACGAGCACAAAAAAATGGTGCAAAAGATTTTGAAGCAGAGTAAGAAGCGTCAAAGAAGCATAGAAGCTGCTGGGCTTGATTATGTCTGCCCTGAAATTGTAAGAATCTTGTTTCCTTGTGGTATTACTTCTGAAAATAGTCTATCATCATATGTTAATGATCCCAACATGCGAAGTGAATATAATTCTCATGTCATATTGCATGTTCTGCTGTATCTTTATATTTTCCATTACAAGATGCCATTCAGTGAATGGTTAGTTGTAGATCTTACTGCTTGGGAGGTTTTGGCTGTAATTGATTATGATTGTGGGCGTGGACTCATGAGGGTGAAAGTAAAATCTTTGGATAGAAAAGCTCTGTAATTGGGAACTTGGACATTAGTGAACTTTGACCATAACTTAATGACGGTAGTAAAATTAGTAAACCAGGAATTAGTCTCTGCCAATGGTTGTTCATCTGTTTGTCTAGGAAGTCAGAAAAGTGTTCTGAACCCAATTTTTGCAGGTAGGTGAAGTGTTGCAGGCTCCAAAGAAGATCAAGTTTGCTGAAGACTAGGCCCTTTGCAGAGCTTCAAAAACTTTTCTGCAGGGAAAAGAGCGTCTGTGCTGGTGTATTTCTGAAGTAGGGTTCAGCTAGCCTTGACAGTGGCAGTTACTGAAGTTGATACAGAAATAGAAGGTAAACAGAGCACCCCAAAAGACTAGATTGTTATGTAAGATGCGTCTGTTACCTTTCTGTTAATTTTGACTGCTCGTATTTCGTCAATGAAGCAATTTAAATGCCCCGTCCTCTTTTCGTGAGCATATATTTGTATACTGCTGCTGTTTTTCTTTTAGCATTCTGGTAGGTGAATTCAAAATAGAGCAACCAAAATTGACCAAATCAACACAAACTATAACTATCAAAGATGAATTAATCCACTCAATCTCCTTTGGAACTCTGCATTCTTTCATATCCTTCGTAATCGCGAATAATGGCATTATTCCTCATTGTCATCCTTGCTAATCAAGGTTGGTTCATTGTTTATTACAAGTAAGCATGTATACCAAACCCAAACCAGTTGACCAAATCATTGGTTGAAATGGGGTACTTGTAATGAGAAGGAAAGTGAAATAGGGTAGCTTTTAGCCATGAATCGAGACTCGATCAATTAGAGTGGTTCGCCTGCAATCCATCTTTTGAACATTGCATAACATTCGGGGGGCTTGTATTCAGGAGCCGTGTGTCCTGCACCCTGCGACATTGATGATTGTTTGATAGAGTGATGTTTCAACTAATGGCTCTTGTGGTAGAATTGAAGGAAGCAAAATCACTTGGTTTTACCTTGACAGTTGCAAACGTCATGAGATTGTAGTATCTTGGATCAGAGTAAGTCCTTGTGTATCTGGTTGATTGGAAGGGAAAAAAAAAAAAGTGTAAGCTTGCTGGAAATGCAGCAGTAAGATGTGGTTACGAAGATAAGGGGAGAATGTCTATATCGTACCCAGCAACCTGGTTGTTAAGCAACCAATGTCTCCATTCCTCGACTATCCTGAAATTCAGACTTCGGATCCACTCCAGGGTTCCGACATAAGGTACCAACATGTCATGATCCCCACTGTTTCCCAACCAGAACAAAAGACTCCATTAGTATCATCGACGATGATGGTATCGGAGTAAGAAGAAGGTATAGTGAAGTTTCGAACCTGTAGATTAGGGAGCGATAACCCTTTCTTGCCAGCTGCAGATGGAACTCGGTACTGCTAGCGACATCAGTCGTATAATGCAACCTTGAACTGCATCTCTCCCACGTCCCTATTGTTCCCTGCATCCCGCCCCACACAAACCAGCAATCTGAGTAACAACCTCTTGGACACTGTTCTGGATTTGGCAGTTAAAGCATGGACTCGAAGTAATAGGTAGAACTATTATGCAGTCATTACTACTGGATTTTTATGTCCCTTATCTCCTACGTCGGCAGACACTATTATGTCGTGCAGTCAATTTGCCTTGCAGGTCCCCAAAAATCAATGCACTTGTCCTTGTTGATTGAAAAATCAACGCAGTCTCCCTTTCTAACGTGGGTATAGTGACACTCACCTTTCTAACGTGGAGAGCAGTCTGCACGCCTTCATCATTGGCCCAGTACTTGGACAACAGGTATGCAAATGTCTGCACGAAGAACATAAACCCAATAATAAGGGGAGAAAAGTCTACCAGTTTGCAAGTGAAGTGAAGGTTAAAAGAGCGTTTTACATACAGGGCAGCCAAGTCTAGGAAGTGACGCTGCCTCCAACTCCAACAACTCTTGAAGAGACCTTGATCTTCTTGGTACCATCATCGGCGGCTTTGGTGAAGCATAAGTGCACTTGGGTAACAAAATTTGCGCTGATTCGAGTCCTGATGTGCACTGAACAAGATATCCCCAGCCAATTCGTGACTAGTTTGATTCAAATTCAAAGTTGGAATCTTACGACGAACTGTGATGGTGGGGGGGTTTTGGTAGGTACCTTTTTAAAATCTCGAACATGTTTGAGGCACTCGGAGTTGCCAGGATCTACGTTGTAGTATTCTCCACCGCAACTTCTTCTCAGCGACTGCACCAAATTATATAGCGAAAGTATAACAAACAAAACTTCGTTGTTTTTCATACAATGATAATATGTAAACGGTCGACGATAGAAACCTCGTAAAGCTCATCCGAAATGAGTGCCATTCCATGAGCAAATTTGATCCTGGAATTATCTTCGATGGTCGCATTAGCACGGCCGTTACCAACCAAATAACCCTCGAGATTGATCGCTGGTTCGAGTCCTTGTTCGTTCTCTGATTATTCGAGACAAGATTTCGAGATGATAACGTTTCGATACGTAGCAAACTTGAAGAGTTCGATTGTGTTACCGATGCAATGTTCGCAAATTACCATCGGAGATTCGAAGAGCTATGCCTGGGACAGGAATGCCAGCGTAGGAGTCCCCACCGATGTAAACTGGATTCGATTTGAACTCTTCATGCTCCTTTAGCCACTGCATCGATTCTTACAAACACCAGTGGTGGGAATTATGGAACAAAGTTAGGAGAGATTAAATTAACTCCTCGAGTCCTTGTTTACCTTCCTCAGAAATTCCACAGCTTGATCAATTTGTAAGTTGTCACTGGATAGAGCTGCAGCCTCTGTTCTTGCATAGGAGAATCCCGTCAAAACAGGAAGATCCACGAAAATGATACTCGCGACCTGTAAACCAAATGACAATTGCAGAAGATAGAACGGTTGATGATTCAACGGGGGAAAAAAAGATATGGTTGATCAACAACAAGGTTCCAGTAGCTTTGTGGCACCTGTGTCCATGCATCGGGATTAAGGATCAACGAAGGCAGCTTCCCATTGTACTCCTCCAGCTTGAAATGGATTGGACCTGACGAGGAAACAGATTTCCAAAAAGATTGTTAATGTCAAGAACCAGTTGGTCCCAATAACTCGAATTGTTGGGAGAAGTGTTGTTGTACCGATTTCATGGAAGAGGCCAGACAAGGCAGAGCAGCCGGGGCCGCCGGTGAGCCAAAGCACAAGAGGGTCCGTTTCAGGTTTCCCCTGCGACTTGACGAAGTAGTAGAACAGCTGCACGTCCTCCGTTTCTCCCACGCCCACGTACCTTCAATGTTTAAAGCAAAGCAAACAGAGCAATTGGAAGTCAGTAGTTCATCAGATAAAAAGAAGACATGTGTTTAATTTTGTTACATACCCAGTTTCGAAATAGAAAGGCAGGGGGCCATCAAAGCCTGGAAGGTATTCTACTGCTGATTGTGAGGCGGACAAGGGAAGCCATGGGAAGCAGCAGCAGCTTAGTAAGAAGAGGTGAAGAAGAAGAAGAGGAAATGATGATCGCCTCATGGTTTGGGTTCGTTCACAAGTCCAAAGTTTCTCGCTGTTTTATCCATCAATTATTCTGGGAACTAGAATAAATGATGCACATGTTCCACACGAGGGAGCTACAGATAAGATCGGGGACAGCCGACAGCTCTGAAATTTTGAGCCCATCCTGATATTATAATGTCAACCGTCTGATTTTTTCCAGAAATATCACGAAAATAATTTAACAAATACAATTTATTTTCAAAATTTTTCAAAAATAGCAGAAAAGGGCACTTACGTTTGCAGTAGTTAACAAATCGGTCACCTACATTTCAATTTTAACAAATCGATCACTTACGTTTACACTAACTAACTAACAAGTAATTCCGTCCCCCTGTCCTGCCATCGCCGTCCAGCCTCGCCGGACGCTACGGTCGTCGCCGCTGCTTCAGACTTTTCCTCTCTATGGACTCCCCTGGCGCTAACGTTGTCGCCCTCCTTTCTTCAGCCACTATGGCTTCTCTCACTCACGTCAAATCGCTCGGCGATGACAACTCTCTTCCTCCTGCAATCGTCGTGGGCATCTTCTCTCCCTCTCTCTAGCCAGCCGGTCTCCCTTGTCCTCCTTTGTCTGCATCCAATCCCAAGCTCGCCTCCTCCCTATTCGAAGAATGAGAACAGAGAAAGGAAAGGTTATGTTTTTCCCTCTCTTTATGTACCAAAACTGAAGTCCCCTCTCACAAAAAAAAAAAAAAAATGAAATCCCTAAAAACAGAGAGGAGATCCACCTATCGCAAACAATTGGGATCTTAGCTCTCAAATAGAACAAAAAACCCTAAAAAATGACTGCTCCCTCTCTGTATTTGTTGAGTTCCTGTTACTTGGCCTTCTTCAATTCAAGAAACAGAAAGGGAGAATTAGAGCGAGAAAGAGAGATGACCAGTGCGTGAAGGGAGAGAGAGAGAGAGGGTGTGGCGTGTGGGGTTGGGCGGGGCCTCTGTTAGGTTGGTTAGTTTTATCGGTTTGAAAATATAGATTGGTTGGGTTGGGTTGGGTTGGGTTTGGTTTGAATTTAATTATTTTAATATATTGTTTGGTGACATGGCAATTTTGGATGGAGAGTTGACAGAGATTGACAGAATTACTAATTCGTTAGTTAGTGAAAACGTAAGTGACCAATTTGTTAAAATTGAAACATAGGTTACCGATTTGTTAGTTACTGCAAACGTAAGTGACCTTTTATGCTACTGACTCGATATTATAATGCCAACGGTCTGATTTTTTCCAGAAATATCACTAAAAGGAAAATAATTTAAAAAATACAATCTATTTTCAAAATTTTCCAAAAAATACAATCATTTTTCGAAAATCTCTTGATGGTATTTTTAGGAAAATTTCGGAAATGGGGGATATTTTTGAATTTTTTTCCTTTTTAGTGGTGTTTCTGAAAAATGTCCTCAACATTCCAAGGGTTAATTGCACCCTGTGCCACTTAAGTTTGTTATTTGTTGCACGTTAACCATTTAAGTGTTTTTTGTTGCAACTAAACCATTTACATTAACTTCCGGTTGCATAGTTACCATTTCCGTCCCCCAAACTAACGATAAGTGTCGAAATGTAATTTTTCATGCCACATGAGTTGCCACATCACCAACTGTAGCGTGAGTCATCTATGGGCCACCATCCAATAAATAGACCCGTCATTATCTTCTTCCTCATTTCAGGGGTTCACAAATTTAATTTCGACGCCCTTCTTCCTCTAGATTTTTGGCATTCTTAAGCTCCCTTAGTCCCTCCCGCAATTACTCTTGCACACTCCACCTCACCTTCTCATTCGTCCCTTCCTCTGTTCTTGGGTTTTCATTGGACGGTCGCTGTCTTTCACTCTATGCACCTTTTGGGTCCATCTGCTCTCAGACTCCAAACATTCGGATGGCTTCTTCCCTCCCCATTTATATTTTTCCATTCCAAGCTCCTCATGTATTGTTCCCTGAAGCCTGTTTATCTGCAACGACAGGATCTTGAGCTTCGAGCAATGGCTTAAATTGACAGGAATTGCGCCATCGATTGTGTTTTCTGAGAGGTTTAGCTGCTGGAGCCGGACAAAGCTGCCTAGCTGTGGCGGGATTTGGCCATGGAAACGGTTGTTGGCGTGGCTGATGGAATTCATAAAGCTTAGGTTGCCAATATGTGGAGGCAGAGTACCTTCCAGATTAAGCTCTGGCAACAATAGGGAGGTGACCCTCTCGTCACTTTCGCAGCGGTCGCAGAGGACGCCAAGCCAGCTGCAGAAATGAAGGGAATCATTACAGGAGTTGAAAACGCCATCTGGGTCATGGGTTATTCCTTTCTTGATTTCTTGCAGCGCGATCCGATCGGTCTCGTTGTTGGCTCATAAGCTTGCCCGGTGAAACAGTTGAGTGATCATAAGAGAACTACGAACTTGGTTAGAGCTTGATTTGCAAACGCTATGGACGGACGGACAATGAACCTTGACAGCGAACACAATATTGAAAGAGGTAGTTTCCCCGGTGGGGGCAATTTGATGCATGGTTCGTTGAATCCCTGTAACCAAGTTTTAAGTGAAGCCTTGGTCGACCCGTATAAGGAAGGATTAGAAGATGGAAGGTTTTTTAGAGGGAAGGACTGGGGAAAAAGAAGAGTTACACGAGTTCATTTATTGAATGGTACCCACGGGTGACTCAATTTATAGTCGCTGATGTGGCAGCCAGTGTGGCATGGAAAATTACATTTCGACACCTACTGTTAGTTTGGGGGACGGAAATGGTAACTATGCAACTGGAAGTCAACATAAATTGTTTAGTTGCAACAAAACACACTTAGATGGTTAACATGCAACAAATAGTAAACTTAAGTGGCACATGATGCAATTTACGTATGAGTAAAAAAATATTTAAAGGATAGTGAGTCACTTCTAAAATTTGGAAAATTAATTATTCAACCCCTGTAGTAATTTATGTATGGGTAAAGAAAAAATTTAAATGGTAGCTTGTGTGATTTGAATTTGGGACACTGTTACTATTACTATACACTAGACGATTAGCCCGCGCTCTGCGGCGGGTTACTGAAAGATGCATCAAACAATTAGAGTTGATTATAAATTTTGTAATAAAGCAAGGTAAGTCTCATTTTACACTAAAATGAGATCATATATCCAAACAAAACTACAACGATTAGATTTAAATTGCATCTCTTGGCTGTTCTTCTATACATTCAAATAGATTTAATGATATTATTAAAAACTACAACACTTGCAGTATACAACTTGAACATTGAATTCGTAGCAGATCGTTGAAGACAATTCCACATCTTTCAGTGGTAGAATCATCACAAACCAATCCACATATATTTTTAGAAGACAGAAAAAATGGGATAGAAGAAAAAAAAAACTATTCATACTAAATACAATGAAACAACAACTAATCCGGTGAAATAATCTTCCAATTAAAAAGATGAAACAATCAAACTTAGATGGCCAAACATTTGTACATAGAAAGCTTGATAGTTGCACATGAATGAGAATGAAATGGTTTCTTTCTGCAAATCCGACAACATTTATGAATACCAATTATAACTCATGAACCTATGTTGATGCGGAATAGCCATATTAAGATCATGCTCCAAAATGAATTTAAGAACAATGTAGTAAAAAAGCATTTTTACGTATAAGTATTTTGGTGATTTAGAAACGTAAAATTGTAAGTTTTTAAGGTTAAAAGCGTGTTCTACATTAATTATAAAATTAAGTTTTTATGTAAAAGCGTCGGTGACCTAGAAGCGCAAAAACATAAATTTTAAAGCGTGATTGTGATTCATTGTTTAAGAAACTAATTTTCCTCCATGTATCAAAATAACATAAGATTAGTAGATGGATTAGTAGATGAGGAAAATTACTACTCAAAGCAAAATAGCCATGAAACAAAATGACATTGCTGTTTGGTTTTTTTATATTATAGATTATTAGTGTTCCCTTTACTTACACACAATGATTTGCATGTTGGACACATGGGAAATCAGAGTGTAGATCGCGTTGGAAGGAATTGGGATGAGGTAGAGCAGAGAGAGTAAAAGAAATCGATAAAATTCCATCTCACCCTGGTCTTTCGCTGTTCTAAATTTTCCACAACAGAAGTTCGGCTCCATAGATCCGTTGCGAGTTTAGTGGATTTTCAGGGAAGAAATTGATCGTTGACTCGTGGGATTCATCAAAAGCCGGCAAAGGTGGCACTTCAAAGATCGACTCGGAGCCCTGCAATCAGTCTCATGGTTCACTTTTGCCTTGGCAAATCAATATACATGCTACCAACCGGAGAACAGGAGCAAGGTGGCCATAGGGAACGCGGAATAAATTTGGGTGGAAAAGGAATGGGAAAGAAAGGAGAATCCAATGACCATCGTTCTTCTCAATTCTGCTTCTCGCAAACCCCGAAAGAGAATCGGCAGCCGAACATCTTAGCCAGCCGCCGGTCGTCCTTCTCGATTGATTGGGTCTGAAGGGTATGATAAAAAGCAAAAAAGGGAAAAAAAGGGGAGAGGAGTCGATATGCCTCGCCCAAAGTGGAGAACTTGGTCTCACCTAAATTTGCGCACAGCAAATCTCAAAATCCTTCCATGAACAGTGACCGCGAATATTTCGTAAGGAACAGTGCTCGGATTTGTTATAAACTGGGCAATTAATAATTCTAATGCTTTCCATTAGACTATTAGTAACTCCTCTCTCTCGTTTTCTCTTATCTAAACTCTTTCATGGCGGCGACGCCGCCCGATGCAGCCTCGACTGTGTCCTGGGCTTCCTTATTCTTAGTTGATCCGGCCAACCATATGACTTATCGACCACCAGAGAGGATTGGGTATGGATTTCGTATCCCTCGTGAAGTGAAGAAGCATGGTGAAGAAAGATGGAAGGATAGCTTGATAGCTCAATTTGTTGGCCAACCCCCAATCCAGCGGCACTGCAGCAATGGGCGACGAAGCTTTGGGGAAGGGATGCCATGGTCCGAGTCTCAAAGTTTGGTCCTCATTTGATGGTGTTCCAGTTCTCATCGGCGTGCACCAGCAAATGGGTGTTTGGATATGGCCCTTGGCATTTTCAGGGAAACCCTGTTTATTTCAGGAAATGACATCCAGGAATCCAGCCGGTCACACCCCTGGTGGAAACCCTCCCTATCTAGGTCCGAATTTGGGGTATTCCACTTGAGTATCATTCCTTTGAAGGGCATAAATGGATAGCAAGTACTTTGGGTCCTCCGCTTTGGATGGATCAGACAACGCGACTGGGTGATCAGCTAGGGTTTGGTAAGGTCTGTCTGGATCTTGATGCTGAGTGTGGATTACCGACAAAAGTTCGTTTATATCCAGATGACGATCCTTCTTTTGAAGTAGAGATTGAATACCTTAATAAACCACTGGTTTGCTTGAGATGTGAGGTCTATGGGCATGATTGTGACTGGTTAGCTAAAAAGGGAAAGAAGTGGGTTCCTAAGTAGATAGTTGAGCCGGTCGAGGTGATTCCTCAGGTGGAAGTTGAGCCTTCAGCAGTAGAGGGGATATCGAGGAGGTTAAGTCTAGGCAAACAAGTTGTGACTTGTGAGGTTCCAGAGAATTTGGCAGGAGCTACTAGTACAATGACTAGAGTTGATGCTAGTCTCATTCAAGCATGTACTGCATCTAGTTCTGTTCACTCTTCATCTACTGAGAGTCCAACTGCGAGTTTTACGGCAGTGGTTAAAGGTCCATCAGCGTTAGCTGGGAGTCCTTTCCCACAATTACATACACCTGTAGAGACTAGTTCATCAGAATTCTCTGAGAGGTCAGTTTCTCAGGTAACTCCAGCGGGTAAAGAGAACGCTAATCTAGGGGGGCAGCAATCAAAGAAGAAGCCTCTTACTTTATTTGTGGCTCCTGCTAGGAAAGGGGGCACAGAGGAAAGAAAAGATGAAATTACTTGTTTGGAATACGCTCGGGGGAGGGGGGGTATAAGGATAGAGATAAAAATAAAGTTGTTTAGCTTCTAGTTAGGAGTAAAAATATAGATATAGTAAATATATTATAGCCAAGAATTAGAGCTAAAGATTCAGTCATTCAGAGGATCTCATTGCTAAGAGATTCACAGGTTGGGAGAAGGAAGTGGCAAACAATGCAAATGATTTGGGGAAGGTATGGTTAATATGGAAGAGTGATATTCAGCTGAGGATCCTTGATAAATCGGATCATTATATCCATGCTGTTGTGAGTAGAGGCAATCCTTTCTTTCGCTCCTTGGTTTATGCCTCCAATGAGGAAACAGAATAGAAGGCAATTATACAATGATCTTAATAGAGTAAAGATTCAGCAAGTACCCTGTGTTGTGCTTGGAGACTTTAATGTTATCAATGATCCTAGTGAAGCATCAAATCACCCTGCTCATAATGGTAGTATGGAGGACTTTTGAGACTGGCAGTCTCAATCAGAAAAATAAACAGGTTGGTAACCCAATTGCCAGGAGGCTGGACATGGCTTTTGTGAATCTTAAGTGGCTATAGATATCATGTCAAACATCATGGTGGAGTAATTGCCTCCTTCAGTTTCAGATCACTGCCCCATTTTTCTTGACAGTGATAACTCTAAAAAATCTCTTCCAAAGCCATTCAAGTTTTTCAAATTATGGACTGTTCATCTGAGGTTTATGGAATTGGTTGAAAGTGCTTGTCAGCAGAAGTGGAGGGATCTCCCCTTGAGAGAGTCTGTAAGAAGCTGAGAATTCTCAAAATATTACTAAAGTCCCTCAATCGAGAAGAATACTCGGATATTAGTGAAAGAGTTAAACTCAAAAATTCTGAATTGCAAATTGCTTAGGTTGCAGCTCTGGTGAATCCTAGTGAGGAAACGTTTGAGGCTGAAAAGATTAAGTATGATGAACTTAAGCAGCTACAGTTGAAAGATGAATCTTTTCTAAGGAAAAAATCTCGTGAGATTTGGTTAAAAATGGGGGACTCTAACTCAGCCTATTTCCACCGTTCCGTTAAAGTACACCAGATGAAGAATACTATCCCTTCCTTGATTAATGAGAATGGAGATCGAGTCATAGATAGTGATACAATAAGTGACATTGTTTTTTCTTTCTATAAGAAGTTGCTGGGGTGAAAGATCCCAATGTGCAAGGGAAGTCAGTTGAATATTTCTAGGGGCTATTACAGAAGTTCATTACCAGTACTAAGAAGGACGAGGTTTGCATACCTGTATCATCAGAGGAAATCAAAAGAACTATGTTTGGGTTTAAGAGGGAGAAGAGCCCTGGTCCTGATGGCTATGTTGTCCGTTTCTTCCAGTCTGCTTGGAGTGTTGTTGGGGATGAAATTACTTCTG